TATAACAACATTCTAGTTGTCAAAACCTAAAATCCAAGTTTCATGTTTTTGGGGGGTTCAAGTCCAGAAATGGCTTCCATATGGAAACAAAACTAGACAAATTCTTCTCTTCAATTAAAACAGCCAATTTTGCCATCTCCGTCACTTTTACGATCCAGATGTATTTTTTTTTTTTTTAATTTGATTTATATGCCGCCCTCCTCCGGAGACTCAGGGCGGCTTACAATGAGCTAAGCAATAGCCTTCATACTTTTGTATATTCATACAAAGTCAGCTTATTGCCCCCACAAACTGGGTCCTCAATTTACCTACCTTAGAAAGGATGGAAGGCTGAGTCAACCTTGAGCCTGGGGAGATTCGAACTAGCAGTAATTGCAGGCAGCTGAATGATAATAACAGGCTATTAGTCTGCTGTGCCACCAGGCTCTTAACTTCACTTCTTGATTCACATTTTTTCACTTGCCTGCCTTTGGCTCCAGATCCCCAACTGCTTTTCAGACTGTTTTGTTGGGAGGCTAGAAAAAAAAAAAGCATTTCTATCCGAGGGATAATCCCTTTTGTTATTTTTAACTCCCCACCTCCTCCTGGCTCCCTGGCTCTCTTCCGTTGACATGCCGTGCATGAGTCATTCTCTGTGCAATCTTCCCATCCACTTCTGAGAACGGTGCTCTGTTAAGGCTCATGTCTCGTTCTTGAACTTTTGGCTCGCAGAGCGCGCTGAATGGGTGCCAGAACGATGCTCAAGTTGTTGCAAAGAAAGGGAGAACTCTTGACTTCAGAGTCCCTTTTCACCGTCTGGAAAGCAAGAGATTCACTTTGAGCCAAAATGAGAGGCTTTACGGAAAGATCAAGAGAACAAACTCTGAACACCTTGGTCAGCCGCACGGCAGCATCACTTAAAACAGCAGCCAAGGAATCCCAATATTAATTTTTTTAAAAATTGAAATGGCCTGAATCTTCTGTTCTCATTCATGTGAACTCACAGATAAATTAATGTTAGGTACTATTATGTAAGATTTGTGCTTTAAAAAAAAAAAAAAGAAAAGAAATATGGTGCCTGTGCTCCAAATCACACATTGTTTGAAAAGGCTACTGAACTCAGTGACATTTAGGGTGATCCATCCTGGCTGGGGAATTCTAGGAGTTTAACAGATTAACAGAGTTGGAAGGGACCTTATAGGTCAGTGATGGCTAACGTTTTTGCCGTAGTGTGCCAAAAGGAGTGCGGAGGGTTTGTGTACGTGCATGCCCACGCCCATAATTCAATGTGCCCAGCACATGCACGTGTAACCCCCTGTGCTCCCCCTGTTTTTGGCATGCGATGGCACGGTGGGCCCGGAAGACTTGTTTTTTGCCCTCCCCAGGCTCCAGAGGCTTTCTAGGAGCCTGGGGAGGGTGAAAACTGCCTTCCCACCCCCCCCGGAGGCCCTCCATATGCCGGAAACATCCCGTTTCCTGACTTCCGGTGGGCCCGGAAGGGCTGAAAATCAGCTGGCCGGTGCGTGCATGCGTGCTGGAGCTAAGCTAAGGCAACGCTCGCGTGCCCACAGATATGGCTCCGCGTGCCACCTGTGGCACCCGTGCCATAGGTTCGCCATCACGGTTATAGGTCATCTAGTCTAACACCCCCCCAGTCAAGCAGGAGATCCTACACCATTTCTGACAAATGGCAGTCTAATATATTTATATTTATATTTTATTCAATTTGTATCCCGCCCTTCTCCTAGTGGACTCAGGGCAGTGCACAGCCAGAACTAAAACACATACCAATACAAAATTTAAAATTTTTAAAAGAATTACATGACTTTGGCCCAAATTTAAAACATTCAAACTAAAACCCATTGACAATTTAAAAAGCTAAAAAACTATAAAAGGAGGGGGGGTTTCACGCCAGCCCTGCTTGATGGAAAAGAAAAGTTTTTAGGGCATGGCGAAAGGCCCGGAGATCCGATATCCTTTGTATCTCTGGGAGCAAATAGTTCCAGAGGGCAGGAGCTGCCACAGAGAAGGCCCTCCCCCTGGGGGTCGCCAGCCGACATTGCCTGGCTGACGGCACCCTGAGGAGTCCCTCTCTGTGGGAGCGTACTGGTCAGTGGGAAGCTATCGGCGGCAGAAGGCGCTGATAGCCTTCCCTTGACATTCTTTTCTTGAATGTCTCAAGTGATGAAGCTCCCACAACTTCCGAAGGCAATTTCTGTTCCATGGGTTGATTGTTCTCACTGTCAGAAAGTTCCTCCTCATTTCTAGATTGAATCTCTCCTGGGTCAGTTTCCATTCGTTATTCCTTGTCTGGCCTTCAGGTGCTTTGGAAAATAGCTTGACCCCCCCCCCCCCGTCTCTGTGGCAGCCTCTCAAATATTGGAAGTCTGCTATCATGTCTCCCCTGGTCCTTCTCTTCACTAGACTAGCCGTGCCCAGTTCCTGCAACCGTTCATCCTATGTTTTAGTCTCCAGTCTCCTAATCATCCTGGTTGCTCTCCTCTGCACTTTTTCTAGAGTCTCAACATCCTTTTTATAGTGTGGTGACCAAAACTGGATGCAGTACTCTAGGTGTGGTCTTACTAGGGCTTTATAGAGTGGTATTAGTACCTCACTTGATCTTGATTGTATCCTTCTGTTAATGCAATTTAGGATTGCATTGGCTTTTTTGGCTGCTGCTGCACAGTTTTGACGTCCACAAGTCTTAAAATTGCCAAGTTTGGACACCCTGATCCACACCTTAATCACATTCTCCTTCAGTTTGATTTTTTGAAAACAAAACTAACCTAAAATGATACAGGTATTTTCTGTTCTCCAAAGATGGAAGGCATTCCAGGCCTCTGGTCATTGTGGTTGTGTCTTTTGCACTTTCCCCAGCTCTATTATATCTTTTCCAACGTGGCAATCAGAACTGTACCCTAGAGTCAACATTGCAATATTATTTTTGGTCCATTAACAAATGACTCCAATATGGAATTTGCCCTTTTCATCGCTGCTGTATGTTGAGTCGATTTCCTCCCGGAGTTACCTCTTATGATCCCATAACTTTTTCCTGATTAGTTTCAGATAACTGCGACCTTATCAGAATATATGCAAAACTGAGAGAAGATAGAGCTGTCTGTCTTAAATTGTTTTGCTGTTTGTTTGACCTCTTACACAGTTTTTAAGAAATCTTTCTGGAGTTGCTAAAATGACTTATTTAGTATATGCTACGGGCAGGGGGGCTTCAAAAATTTTAGCAAGGGGTTCTCTACCTGGTTGCTGGGTGGGCATGGCCATGGTGGGCGTGGCTTAGTTGGCCTCCTGCACCACAGAGGGAGGGGGTTTGCCCTCCCCGGGCTCCAGAGGCTTTCCTTGAGCCTCCGGGAGGGTGAAAATAGGCTCCCCAGGCTCTGGAGGCCTTCTGGAGGCTGGAAACGGGCCCATTTCCGGCCTTCCCAAACTTCCGGTAGGCCGTTTTTTCGCCCTCCCTGAGCCTCCCCACACGCCCTGCACATACCTGCATCCAAAATGGGCCACGTGGAGACTCCTGGGAGGGGTGAGGTGGGAGGGGCCAGCCAGGAGTGGGATTTAGGGGTTCTCCGAACTGCACAGAATCTTAGCTACAGGTTCTCCCGAACCCCTACGAACTCCCAGCAGCCCACCTCTGACCACGGGTGTCAAACTCACGGTGTCACGTTCCCGTCACGTGACGTTTGATGACATTTTCCCCCTTCGCAGAGCTGGGGTGGCCATGGACTGCGCGTGACACATCTCTGCGCGAAGCCACACTCTCCTGCGCTCTAGACTGGTGCCTTAAACCACTAGACCGAAATGACTTTTGTTTTCAAAAATCCATTACAATGCTGGACCCCATCCAGACAACTCAGAACATTTTGTTTGGAGACTGAAACATTCCCTGACAGATTGTTTTGCACACCTGGCACAAAAGTCCTCCACAGCTTCCTTGTCATCAGGACACAACTGATATATTGTCACTGCTGCCAGCTCCCTTCCACAGTAGAAACACCCAGCCATTGGAAAGCTTTCTCTCTCTTTCCTGATGCCATCCAAAGAAGAACGACAAATAAGATTAGGGGACTGGAGACTAAAACGTATGAAGAACGGTTGCAGGAATTGAGTATGCTTGGCTTAATGCAGGGGTCTGCAACCTTAAGCACTCAAAGAGCCATTTGGACCCGTTTCCCACAGAAAACACCGGGAGCCACAAAACCTGGGTGGGTGTGGCCAACTCGATGTCACTCACTTCCACCAGTCACATGACCCCTCCCTAGCCACGCCTATCCAGCCGGTCATTAGGGCAGAGAACCAGTTGTTAAAAAACACCGGGAATCACAAAATCCTTTTGACATCTCTCTCTCTCTCCTCCCTCCCTCCCTCCCTCCCTGTCTCTCTCCCTCTCTCTCTGTATCTCTCTATGTCTCTCTCTCCCCACCTCTCTCTGTATCTCTCTGTCTCTGCCCCGACTTGTTTTGGGTATGACATATAGGGTTTCCTGCTTGAGCAGGGGGTTGGACTACAAGACCTCCAAGGTCCCTTCCAATCAGTGGTGGTATTTAATTGGTTCTATCCGGTTCGGGCGAATCAGTAGCGGCGACTGCTTGTGCTAATCAGGCTGTGCTGAAGCAGAAATGGGCCGTTTGCTGCAAGGAGGTAAATTGCTGGGAGGCAAAGGCCAAAGGGTAAAGGCCAGTGGGTAGGTGGGGCTACATTCGGTGTATAAGACACACCCAAATTTTCACCCTCTTTTAGGGGGGAAAAAGTGTGTCTTATACTCCGAAAAATACAGTAAGTTTATAGTCCTATCACATGTATCTTATTTTTATAAAAAACTATTTTTCCTAAGCTCTTTTGCTTCTTTCTTTCGGTTTAGTTTATCTTAACCAGGGTAATGAATGTAGTTTTTTTTTATTAATGATGCATTATCTTGTTTGTTATACTTCACTTACATTTTAAAGAAATATTAAAGAAAAACAGCCATGCTAGTGACATTTTTCCATTTTAATGTAAATTATTAACAAATCCACAGATTTCTTTCTGTACACAATATACAAATAGGAAAACATGACATTTTTATATGTACAGCATTAAGTTACTTTAATTAGCTTCTTCTTGATATATACAAATATATATTTATATATTTATATATTTATACTTATATATAAACGGGAACATCACAGGATGGTTCATTAGTTGCATCTTATTTACAGAAAAAAAAAACAGTACTAGGTCATATTTTGACAAGGTCAAGCCACCGGTGTAATATACACCAAAAAAAAAAGCACCATCTGGGCCCATGATAATATAATATATAATGCAATATTGAATAGGAAAAAACATACCAAAATACACTTACAGTACTTCACAGATTTGCACCATTCAGTGGCTGGATTAGTGATAAATAGCATATGTTTAAAAGATATCACAACACAACAGAGTTTTTTTTTCCAAACCAATTCTGGTAAAAGACGCACTGAGATGATGCTTGTTCTAGTTCGGGGTCTTCAAACTTGGCAGCTTTAAGACTTGTGGACTTCAATTCCCAGAATTCTCCAGCCAGCATAGCTGGGAGTTGAAGTCCACAAGTCTTAAAGCTGCCAAGTTTGAAGACCTCTGTTCTAGTTAGAGGTATCTTATTGGAGTACCAAAAGGCAAAGTATGTTTGACAATCGGTGATCCATGGATCCTACTTAAGGCACAACGTCGATCCATATTTGATTTCCAGAGCAGTCTTTAAGGCTTCACAAGTGCTCTCCCATGGAAGCAAGTTTTTCACAGTAAGATGTCATGGTGGCCCCATGTTTTAGAGGATCCCAGAGGGGGGGTAAACCAAGACAAGGTAAGGTCAAACGATACTGGCTAATTCTGTAGAATCTGTCTCGGTGCTACTGTTGCTCTCTTCATCCCTGGAAGAGTCAAAATATAGAAAAGTTAATAAGCACAACATCTTGGTCGGAGCAATTATCTCTAGCAGAGATTCGGGGACTGGGTTCACCAGTTGCCTTAGGCCAGGGGTGTCAAACTCAAGGCCTGGGGGGGCCAGATCCGGCCTGCGGGGTGCTTAGATCTGGCCTGCGGGGCAGCCCTAGAAACAGCAAAGGACCTGCCCATAGTGCCTCTGCCAGTGAAAATGGAGCTTGGGAGGGCCGCGAGCAGTAGTGGGTTGCCCCCGGTTCACACCGGTTCTATAGAACTGGTAGTAAAACCAGCGGGAGGCTCCGCCCACTGACCCTGATGTCATCAAAATGTTTCTGTGCATGCACAGAAGAGCGCACACGCGTGGTCCCATTGCGAACTGGTAGTAAAGGTAAATAGAACCCACCCCTGGCCACGAGCTCCGTTTTTGCTGGCCGAGGGTTGCAGGAGGCCGTCGCAGCCCAAAACGGAGCTCGGGGAGCCCGTTTTCGCTGGCAGAGCTCTTGGGCCATGAGTGACATTGAGCTGACCATGCCTCCCCTGCCCCCCCGAGGTCCAACACAACCTTGATGTGTCCCTCAATGAAATTGAGTTTGACACCCCTACCTTAGGCCATGGGTGTGGTCCCCTTGATTTTGACCCAGCCAAAATTTACTCTACAAAAGATGATTAAATGAATTAAATGGCTTAGTCTATGATGCAACACCTGATCCAGGTCAGTTTGGAAGGGAGAGAAGGAAGATCGTATGTAATATCAGACCAAACCAAAGCTGGGGATTGCTTTTGTGCCAGGCCTAGTATAAAGAATGGCTACCTAAGGAAGGGTAAGCTTAAACTATAGGATCAGGTAGGTGGCCCAAAATCATTCAATTATGACCCATCTCTGCACAAGATAGAACAATATACGAACGCTTCCTAGTCTTCTAAAAAGCCAGGTGCTCACAATCTAATGACAACTGGACAAATCTGAAACATATGAGAAGTCTAGTATAAAACCGGTCAGTCCTAGAGGAGATCAACCCTGACTGCTCTTTAGAAGGCCAGATCCTGAAGAGGAAACTCAAATACTTTGGCCCACCTAATGAGAAGGAAGAACTCACTGGAGAAGAGCCTAATGCTGGGAAAGATTGAGGGCAAAAGAAGGAGACGACAGAGAAGGAGGTGGCTGGATGGAGTCACTGAAGCTTAAATGGACTCCAGAGGATGGTAGAGGACAGGAAGGCCTGGAGGAACATTGTCCATGGGGTCGCAATGGGTTGGACACAACTTGGTGACTAACAACAACAAAAGGCCATAAGTGTGATGGAACATGCACCTGTAGGAGAAGTGGGGGGCGGGGGTTTGGGCAACACAGAACTTTCCCAGAGAGAGACCCACATCAAGAGACTGCACAGTCTCAAGCTGAAAATGGGGGAAGAGGATCACGGTAGCCACACTTAAGAATCTCTCAAGATGTATCTAATCATTTTTTAAAAAAATCATAGCTTTAGTTTGACAAGATTCTGTCTATTAGGTGCAAGTAAATAAAGGACTGGACTCGATTGGATTTCACTATGTCATCTCTGGGCTTGGGCCTAACCATCAGGAAGCCTTGCAAGACTTCTATTTGCAAAAATTAAGGTTCATGAACACTCAGCATTTTATATTTAGTGTCCTACTGTCTGCTCACTTTTCTGGTGCAAAAGTGCTGCATCAGAGAAATGAGATAGTCACTTGTCTCAGAGCCAGAAGCATCAGCTCTATTTTAAGTTTTAGCAATTAAGTAACAAGGATGCTCTCGAACAGAGGTCCTGGGGTTCAGGATTTCAAATGCTATCCATAAGAGGCAGGGGTGGGTTCTAAATTTTTTTACTACCGGTTCTGTGGGCGTGGCTTATTTTGTGGGCGTGGTTCGATGGTCATGTGACAATTCTTTAGGATTTAGCAGAGGTACTGGTCTACCAGGCTTTTAACTGCTTGCAGAGCTATACCGGTCTACCCATTTGTTCTTGGAGAGTTCCGGTCTACCACCACACTGCCTTTTAACACTGATCAGCTGTAGGGCAGCCCTTTGAAGCCCCACGGCAAGAGTTTAAATAGTTTTTTTTCTTTCTAGCCATCAACTGGGACTCGGGAGGCAGTGAATAGATTGGAGGTGGGACCAAATAAAAGGTAAGAATAACATGGGTGGGGCGGGAGGGCCCAGCTCCCGAACAAAGAGAACCGGTTCTTTCATGTATATGTTAAATGTGACCATTTTTGTTTACTTATTTGGGGTAAAGAAAGGATTGGTGTTACTTATGTCCCACAGCTGCAGAAATCCAAAGGAATTCTTGATTGTCTTTCTGTCCATCCATCCGGGGGTGAAATTCAAAATTTTTCCCTACCGGTTCTGTGGCGTGGCTTGGCTTGGTGTGCGTGGCAGGGGAAAGATATTGCAAAATCTCTATTCCCACCCACTCTGGGGCCAGCCAGAGGTGGTATTTGCTGGTTCTCCAAACTACTCAAAATTTCCGCTACCGGTTCTCCAGAACCTGTCAGAATCTACTGGGTTTCACTCACCCAACTCCAGCATAGCTGGCTGGAGAATTCTGGGAGATGAAGTCCACAAGTTTGAAGACCTCTGGTTTAAACCTGCCGAGTTTGAAGACCTCCAGTTTACAGAGTCAGCATCAGAGGTGGGTTTCAGCAGGTTCTGACCAGTTCTGGAGAACCAGTAGCGGAAATTTTGAGTAGTTCAGAGGACCGGTAATAAAAATTCTGACTGGCTCCGCTCCCATCTATTCTCTGCCTCCCAAGTCCCAGCTGATCGGGAGGAAATGGGGATTTTGCAATTACCTTCCTCTGGAGTCGGGTCGGAATAGAGATTTTACAGTATCCTTCCCCTGCCACGCCCACCAAGCCATGCCACGCCCACCAAGCTACACCTACAGAACGGGTAGTAAAATTTTTTGAAACCCACCACTGGTCAACATATTGCCCCCAACAATCTGGGTCCTCATTTTAATCGACCTCAGAATGATGGAAAGCTGAATCGACCTTAAGCCCGGGTCAGGATCGAACTTCAGGTTGCGGGTAGAGTTTTCCTGCAACACTGCAATTCAACCACTGGGCTCCTAATCATCCCACAATGTTTCTTCGTGTTTGCATGATGACACAAGGGATGTCCTTTTGCTTCCCTGTGGATCATCCCAGCTGCCTGTCCATGAAAAGCAAATCTCAGCCCAGCTTCCCTCTTCGCCAGGTGCCCATCCTGAGGAGATCCCTCCTTCCCTTCCTCTCTGGTTGCCTGTGGTTGACCTCTCACCTTAAATCCTGCAGAGCTTTCTTGTTTTTTTTCCGCCTGTCCTCATCGATGGGGTAGAGCTTAAAAAGGAGCAGGCCAAGGATGATCAATGCCACCGGGGCTGCAGAGACGAGCATTTTCAAAGTCAGGTTCACCTCCTCCGGCTGGGAGCAGCCTCGAGTCTTGTATCCTGCAAAGCTGCAATGAATGAAACAGGGGAAGTTGAATAAAGGGACCGGAGGAGTGGTGGGTTTCAAAATTTTTTACTACCGGTTCTGTGGGTGTGGCTTGGTGGGCAAGCCCAAAATATATGTTGCTAAGTGAGAAATTTGTTAAGTGCGTTTTGCCCCATTTTACGACTTTTCTTGCCATATTTGCTAAGTGAATCATTGCCGTTGTTGAATTAGTAACACAGCTGTTAAGTGAATTTGGTTTCCCCATCTGACAATTTGCTTGTCAGAACATTGCAAAAGGTGTTTTACATGATCCCCAGACACTGCACTGTAATGCAATGGTCACTAAGCAAACTGTTGTAAGTCGAGGACTACCTATATCAGTGATGGCTAACCTTTTTGCCATCAGGTGCCAAAAGCGGGAGGAGTGCGGGGGGGTCATGCACGTGCCCACACCCATAATTCTATGCACGCCCCCCTGCATGCACACACAATCCCCTCTCGCGCGACCCCCCACATTTGGCACGCAATGGCACGGTGGGCCTGTTTTTCGCCCTCCCCAGGCTCCAAAGCCTTTCTAGGAGCCTGGGGAAGGTGAAAATGGCCTTCCCCATCCCCACAGAGGGCCTCCGAAGGCCAGAAATGGCCTATTTGCCAACTTCCGGTAGGACCGGAAGGCCCATTTTTTTGCTCTCCCCAGGCTCCAGAGCCTTTCCAGGAGTCCAGGGAGAACAAAAAATGGGCCTTCCCCAGCCCCCCAGGCCCTCCGGAGGCCAGAAACAGCCTGTTTACCTACATTCGGTGGGCCCAGAAGGCCCGAAAATCAGCTGGCCAGTGCACACATGCACGCCAGGGCTGAGCTCACGTGCCCACTGATATGGCTATGCGTGCCACCTGTGGAATGCATGCCATAGGTTCGCCCTCATGGACCTATACTCTTCTCAGAACCTGTCCCTATTTCTTGGAGTCCTCCTCCAATTTACCAGCAACTTTGGTGTCATCTGCAAATCGCTGATAACCAGACCTATGAGTAGGAGAGATTTCTTTTTCAAAAGATTTCCAAAGGGTTGCAATTCCTGGTTCCCAAAAGAGCCGGGATTCTGAATTCTATTAGCCAAAGGGGTGATAGTGAAACCTTACTCTAAACTGAGCGTGGAGATCCCCAGAGACACTCCAGAAGCAAACTTGGTGAAGAAGACGTAGAAAGAGAAGAAGATAGCTTCATGGCCTCTGCAATCCGGGTGCTGGAGGTTGAAGTCATCCACCACATCTGGCAACATAGACCTAATCGAAGGAGACAAGACAGAAACCGACAAATCAGTTTAGCCATAAGGAGGTTCACTAAGGCAGGGGTCTCCAACCTTGGCAACTTTAAGGCTTGTGGATTTCAACTCCCAGAGTTCCTCAGCCAGCTTTGCTAAGGAACAAGACACTAACCAGAAAAGTTGCCACCAAATTACTATTTTCAAAGTGAGTAAAAAGGAAATCACATGGCAAAGGATGATCTGAACTGTTTTTAATTGCTTCAGAATTCTATTCCTATTCCTTTCCGTTCTGTGAGAAGTTTTATATCAAGCTATATTTTATTCTTTATATACTGTTTCTATCTTCCCTTAAAACATTAACAGAATCTACAACGGACTGAGAATCAGCGTCTCCGCTAGATAACTGACAGTCAAGCTGAGACTAAATTAATCAAGTAAAATAGAATAGAATAGAATAGAACAGAATTTTTTATTGGCCAAGTGTGATTTGGATACACAAGGAATTTGTCTTGGTGCATAAGCTCTCAGTGTACATAAAAAGAAAAGATACGTTCGTCAAGAATCATAAAGTACAACACTTAATGATAGTTATAGGGTACAAATAGGAACCAGGAACCAGCCAACTTCTTTAAACCTCCCCCTCAAATAAATTACCCAGACCTAATCCACATATCAAAGGATAAGGTCTGTAAACACAGAGTTAATTATATTAGGTCTCCCAGTGGAACTGCATGTTCACAAGAATAAACACTGTAGACATGCCTACACACATATCTACACAGGCAAACACCCCCCCCCTTCAAGTGTCACTCTAGAATCAGCACATAGACACTTCCACACCAGGACAAGCTCCCCTATAAAACTCTGCTGCTGTACCCCATTTCTCTGCAGCTGCCGTTTAAAGGTAAATTGTTTGCTTTTAGGCATAAATATTTCTTGTTTTTCACAGCTGTCTGGATTTCATTTTTATTTAGTCTTGCGCAACCCCGGCTCGAGGTGGAACCCCAAATTATTTTTTGACAGCTCCAACATAACTGACCAGCTTATACTTCAATATATAGTAATAGAGTTGAAATATGATGTAACAACCAACAATGATGTAAATCAGTGATGGCTAACCTTTTTGCCGTCGCGTGCCAAAAGCAGGAGGAGTGCGGGGGGGCGGGTCGTACGCATGCGTGCCCACACCCATAATTCAATGTCCCCCCCACCCCCTGCCCCCCCACATATGTGCACGTAACCCCCCACGCTCCCCTTGCTTTTGGCACGCAACTGCAAAAAGGTTAATGGTGGGCCCGGAAGACCCGTTTTTCGCCCTCCCCAGGCTACAGAGGCTTTCTTGGAGCCTGGGGAGGGTGAAAATGGCCTCCCCCCACTTGAGGCCTTCCGGAGGCAGGAAACAGTCTGTTTACCAACTTCCAGTGGGCCCAGAAGGCCTGTTTTTCACCTCCCAGGCTCCAGCTTTCTTGGAGTCTGGGGAGGCGAAAATGGACTCTCCCCACTCGAGGCCTTCTGGAAGCAGGAAATAGTCTGTTTCCAACTTCCAGTGGGCCCAGAAGGCCTGTTTTTCACTCTCCCCAGGCTCCAGAGGCTTTCTTGGAGCCTGGGGAGGGCGAAAACAGCCTCCCCCACTCGAGGCCTTCCGGAGGCAGGAAACAGTCTGTTTCCCAACTTCCAGTGGGCCCAGAAGGCCTGTTTTTCACCCTCCCCAGGCTCCAGCTTTCAGTCTGGGAGGGCGAAAATGGACTCTCCCCACTCGAGGCCTTCTGGAAGCAGGATAGTCTGTTCCCAACTTCCAGTGGGCCCAGAAGGCCTGTTTTTCACTCTCCCCAGGCTCCAGAGGTTTCTTGGAGCCTGGGGAGGGCGAAAACAGCCTCTCCCCACTCGAGGCCTTCTGGAAGCAGGAAATAGTCTGTTTCCCAACTTCCAGTGGGCCCAGAAGGCTGTTTTTCACCCTCCCCAGGCTCCAGAGGCTTTCTTGGAGCCTGGAGAGGTGAAAAAGGCCTTTCTCACCCCACCCCACCTGGAGGCAGGAAACAGTCTGTTTCCTGACTTCTGTTGGGCCCGGAAGGCCCAAAAATCAGCTGGTCGGCATGTGCACGTGCGCTGGAGCTGAGCTAGGGCAGCATTCGCATGCCCACACATATGGCTCCGTGTGCCACCGTGATTTACATCGCGGATGTAAATCAATCAAAACCCAACATTCAACAGAAACTACATATCAAGGGGGGACCTTGAGATCATCTATCCCAAAGGCCCTTTGAAAGAGGCAAGTCTTAAATGGTCTTTCAAAATCCTAATAGGGATTGCGGCGACTCTTTAGGAGTGATCCCCGTTTTCCTTTGGATACTTTTCAGAGAACTGGGACAGGAATAGAACTGTACAAGTACTCCTTGATTTACAACCACAATTGAGCCCAAAATGTCTGTTGCTAAGTGAGACGGTTGTTAAGTGAGTTTTGCCCCATTTTATGACACAGTTGTTTAGTGAATCACTGTAGGTGTTTAAATTAAGTAACACAGTTGTTACTGTAAGCGAATCGGGCATCCCCATTGACTTTGCTTGTCATATGGCCCGGGACACTGCAACCGTCATAAATACATGGCAGTTGCCAAAGAGCAGGGGTGAAATGCTCCCGTTTCACACCGGATCGCCCGATCCGGTAGCGATGGAGACGGGTGGTTCGGAGAACAGGTAGCAAAAATCCCTGCCCCTCCCCCATTGCCCAGCTGAGCCATGCAATCATCAGAGGCTTTTTTAATTTTTAAAAGCATTTTTTCCACAACCTCTATGGCCGAAAAAATGCTTTTAAAAGTAAAAAAAAAAGCTTCTGATGATCGCGCGGTTCAGCGGGGATCATCAGAGGCTTTTAAAAGCATTTTTTCTACAACCTCTTCAGCTGAAAAGGTTATAGAAAAAATGTTGTTAAAAGGAAAAAAAGCCTCTGCCGATCACACAAGTCAGCTGGGATCGTCAGAGGCTTTCAAAGTATTTTTTTTACAACCTCTTGAGCTGAAGAGGTGGTAGAAAAAATGCTTTTAAAAGTAAAAAGAAAAAAAGTTGGCCACGCCCACTCAGCCTTATTACACCCCCCCCATGAAGCCACGCCCACAGAACCGGTACTAACAAATTTTACATTTCACCACCGCCAAAGAGTCTGAATTTTGATCACGTGACCACAGGGATGCTGCAATGGTCGTGTGAAAAACAGTCATAAGTCACTATTTTCAGTGCCGTTGTAACTTCAGACAGTCACTCAATAAACGGTTGTAAATCGAGAACTACCTGTACTGTATATTGAGTTCTGGAAACAGACAAAGATGCTCGACAATTCACTCACCACGGCAAGAGGAAAGCAGCGGCCACGCTCATTCCAGCTGCAACGGCTACCACGTAGGTCATAATGAGGTTGCTTTCCAAAATCACAACCGAGATGAGGAAAGGAGTGGCAGACTGAAGAATGGAGAGAGAAGACGTGGTCAGGAAGCTCACTTTGATTCAAACTTGAATGGACTGACGCAATTTTGCCCCTTAAAACGTCAGAATAGAAATGGGACTTCGCTTACAAAGGGATCTCAAGAAAATTGGGCTCGCTCGAGAGCTAAGAATGACTTGGTCATTAAGGGAAACTTACAGATTTTTCTTTTTCTTCTTTTTGTGGGTGCTTCTTTCCCTTCTTGCCCATGAGATCCTAGCCATAATTAATAGCGGTTTCTTTATACTTGTTCGGATACAAACATGGGTTGAGAAGAAACTTCTCAAAATGTCTATCAATCCATAGATACCGTGTTTATCCGAAAATAAGACCCTCTCTTATATTTTTTTGAACCCCGAAATAAGCGCTTGGCCTTATTTTCGGGGAGATCTTATTATTTTGGGGCACGTGGAGGAAACCAGAGGAAATGGCGGGGACCAGCTGCGCATGTGTTTAAATATTTTCGGGGGGGGTTATTTTAGCGCATGTGCTCAAAAGTCCGATTGGGCTTATTATCAGGGGATGTCTTATTTTCAGGGAAATAGGGTATTTAGACTGAAACTTATCAGTTGCTTTACATTTGACTGAGATAGAAGTCTTCGAACTGGTTCATGCATCGTGCTAAATCATATTTTGACTCATCAAGGTTTCTTGAATAAGCCACCATTGGCTGGTTTCATACTTCACTCTAAATCAGGGGTCTCCAAACGTGGCCACTTTAAGACTTGCGGAGGTCAACTCCCAGAATTTATTTTATTTTTTATTTTATTAGTCCAATTTATATGCCGCCCTTCTCCGTAGACTCAGGGCGGCTTACAATGCATTATAGCAATAGCCTGCATACTTTTTTGTATATACCTGCTTATTAGGGCTTTCGGGCCCCCCTAAGCAGTGTTGTTCTATACAAAGTTGGCTTATTGCCCCCACAATCCGGGTCCTCAATTTACCTACCTCGAAAGGATGGAAGGCTGAGTCAACCTTGAGCCTGGTGAGATTCGAACTTGCACTAATTGCAGGCAGCTGGCAGCTAAGTGCTAGCACTTAACAGCACTTTAGTCCGCTGCACCACCGAGGCTTCATGCAGCCATGCTGGCTAGGGAATTCTGGGAGTTGATGTCCCCAGGTCTTAACGTTGCCAAGTTTGGAGACCCCTGCTCTAAATCACAACTATATATAGCACAGCTGGGTACCCACAGGCTATTCAGACGGAGCAAAATTTAACCAACCACATTATCTCTTAGCCTGTTTTGCACGCAAGACCACGGTGTCTATGGAGATTCTCCTAGGTCAGTGATGGCTAACCTTTTTGCCATCGCGTGCAAAAGCTGGGGGAGTGCGGAGTGGGCACACGCGCACGTGCCCACACCCATAATTCTATGTGCCCTGCCCCCCCACGCATGTGCGTGCAACCCCTCCATGCTCTTCCCGTTTTTTGTATGTGATGGCCCAGTGGGCTCGGTAGGCCTGTTTTTGTCCTCCCCAGGCTCCAGAGCAGTGTTTCTCAACCTTGGTAGCTTGAAGATGGGTGGACTTCAACTCCCAGAATCCCCCAGCCAGCGCTGCTTTTCACCCCTGTCACAAACTATCATAAATGCTTCACCGGGAGCATTTCATCCCTGTCGCAAACTATCATAAATGCAGGCCAGTTACCAAATGCCCAAAATGCAGTCACATGACCATGGGAGGGGGAACAGTTATCGTAACGCTGAAATTAAGTCGTAAGTACCTTTTGGGGGAATCTGTGGTAACTTTGAATGGTCACTAAGCGACCGGTCATAAGATGAGGACTATCGGTATTCACTCACCGAGATGCCAATGTAAACAGCAGTTTTCTTCCCAAAACGTATAAGGAACCACTGCCAGAAAGGAATGGTCAGTGTGGCCGAGAGCTGCAAAAGAACAACAAAAGAAAAAGGAAAGAAAATTTATTATAGATGATATTTGACCTACAACCACAACTGGGATCACAATTGCTGTTGTTATGCGAGGTGTTGTTAAGTGAATCACAGGCCATTTTATGACATTTTTGCCATGGTGGTTCAGAGAATCCCTGCATATGTTAAGTGAATCACAGAGTCAGTAAGCAAATCTGGTTTTCCTCATTGCTTGTCAGAACCTGGTTGCAAACGGTGATCTGCAACCGTCGTAAGTACATGCCAGTTGCCAAGCATTTGTAAATATATGCCGGTTGCCAAAATTTTGATCACATGATCAGGGGGCTGCTGCGATGGTCATAAGGGCGAACACCGGTTGTAAGTCACTTTTTTCAGCACTGTCGTAATTTCAAACAGCCACTAAATGAGGACCACTGCAAGTTGAGGTCTAACCGTATTTAAGTCAACCAGATCAGTGGTGGGTTGTCCCTGGTTCGGACCGGTTCACAAGAACCGGTAGTAAAACCGGTGGGTTTTTTTCTTTTAAAAGACTTTGATGATCCCAGCTGAGTTGCCTGATCGTCAGAGGCATTTAAAAGAAAGAAAGCCTCTGCCGATCAGGCAACTCAGCTGGGATCGTCAGAGCCTTTTGAAAACATTTTTTTAACAACCTCTTTGCCGAAGAGGTTGTAGAAAAAATGGTTTTAAAAGTTAAAAAAAAAAAAAGTTGGCCAAGCCCACGCAGTCACATTACCCCACCACCAAGCCATGCCCACAGAACTGGTAGTAACAAATTTTACATTTCCCCACTGCCCCTTTCCCTTTCTCTTGGTTTCATTCTTTTTTCCTTTTTAATATTCATAAAAAACCAATAAGTAATATTACAGTGGAGACCTCAGTATTATGTACCAAGCTCAAGATACAAATCCTTATGATGTTATAAAAAATAATTGCACGCCTTTTGCAACAGGCTATCAGTGCCACTTATTTTTAATTGTACGGTTCAAGCAACCTTACGTTCGTTGACATCTCAGAATTACAGTTAACATTGATATAGACTTTCCCATCTTATCTTTAAAGCTTTAAATTATCTAAATTAGCACGCTGTTAACAATTTCTAATTTATATTTTACCATTTTTTCTCTCTACTGAGCTACTATCTGCATTCTTTTAACATATTATTCGCATCTTATAATGCAATAAAACAATTAACTGCATACACAAACAGAGAACCAAGCTTTCCCCATTGAACAGGCTAATATAAACTTTCCCTCACCCATTTGAGACTTCCTACTTCCGTGATGGCGAACCGGTGGCACGTGGAGCCATATCTGTGGGCATGCAAGCGTTGCCTTAGCTCACCTCCAGTTCATTTGCGTGCTCTGGCCAGCTGATTTTCAGGTCTTCCGGGCTCACTGGAAGTCGGGAAACGGGTCGTTTCCGGCCTCCAGGGGTTGGGGAAGCCCGTTTTCACCTTCCCCAGGCTCCTAGAAAGCCTCTGGAGCTTGGAGAGGGTGACAAATGGGCCTACCAGGCCCACCGAGCCATCGCGTGCCAAAAGTGGGGGGACTGCAGGAGGGGTCACATGGGCATGCACGGGGGGGGAGGTGCATTGAAGTATGTGTGTGGGCACACACACGTTCGACCCCCCCGCACTCCCCCCGCTTTTGGCACGTGACGGCAAAAAGGTTAGCCATCAGTGTCCTACTCTTTGACCTAGCCTGGTTAAGAATTTCCATATAGCAGTAAGATAATCTACCTCTCTTCTCTACTCCATCATAAAGTAGAGGAGCAGAAAGGCCGACACCATTGTCTACAGATAATCCTCGACTTACGACTGCCATCGAGCCCAAAATTTCTGTTGCTAAGAGAGTTTGTTAAGTGAGTTTTGCCCCATTGTGCGACTTTGCTTGCCACGGTTGTTAAGTGAATCACTGCAGCGGTTAAGTTAGTCACACGGTTGTTAAGTGAATCTGATTTTCCCTGTTGTCTTTGCTGGTCAGAAGGTTGCAAAAGGGGATCACGTGACCCCCTCTCCCCCTCCCGGGACATTGCAATCATCATAAATACGAGTCAGTTGCAAAGCATCTGAATTTTGATCACGTGACCCTGGGGATGCTGCAATGGCCATAAGTGTGAAAAATAGCCATAGGTGGCTTTTTTCAGTGCCGTTGCAACGTCAAACGGACACTAAATGAATGTTTATAAGTCGAGGACTACCTGTAGACCAGAAGTGGGTTTAGATTCCCCAAAGAAGGAATTTAAGTTTGATGACATGAGGCAGCTAGAGATTCACAATTAGCTTTGCCTTAGTCAGTTTTTCTTGCTTGTGTTTAGTTTTTGTTTTATTTTCAGTTGATGTTCAATATATTATGACAACTCAGGAACTGGACTAATTCAGGCACTAAAGGTAAAGGTAAAGGTTCCCCTCGTACATATGTGCTAGTCGTTCCAGACTCTAGGGGGCGGTGCTCATCTCCGTTTCAAAGCTGAAGAGCCAGCATTGTCCGAAGACATCTCCGTGGTCATGTGGCCAGCATGACTCAACACCAAAAGCGCACGGAACGCTGTTACCTTCCCCCCAAAGGTAGTCCCTATTTTTTCTACTTGCATTTTTTAAGTGCTTTCGAACTGCTAGGTTGGCAGAAGCTTTGGACAAGTCATGGGAGCTCACCCTGTCACACAGCACTCGAACCGCTGAACTGCCGACCTTTCGATCGACAAGCTCAGCATCTTAGCTACTGAGCCACCACGTCCCTTATGAGACAGCTAGAGATTCACAATTAGCTTTGCCTTAGTCAGTTTTTATTGCTTGTGTTTATTTTTTGTTTTATTTTCAGTTGACGTTCAGTGTATTGTGGCAACTCGGGAAACGGGCTAATTCAGGCACTAGGTGAAGCATTTTATGAGAACACAGTAAGAATGTGCTTTATGCCAAAGTCACAAGGGCTGTAGGCTGAAATAGGAAAGCAACGTGGCTCCTCTGAGCATCCATATATTCTTTTATGCCTGCCAAACTCTCTCCTCCACCTGCTGTTTGTGAAAAGTTTCTTTTACATCAGGGGGAAAAAAAACAACTTTTCGCAAACAGCAGGTGGAGCAGAGAGCGATATCGACGTGTTTCAATTCAAAGCAATGCCCTCCCCTTTAAAGTCTAGCATCATTTTTATATTCAATCACACTCTTGGACCGGCATACAGTAAGCATTCTTAGGAAACATAAATAGCAGCTGTTAGCAAACCAAAGCTTTGTTTAGATATCCTATCCAGGGGGAAAAAAGACAAAAAGCAAAAGCATGAGAAGAGATTGGCCATCTACTCTTTGAATAATGCAAGACGGCTTCCGATGACCGACCCTCGTCTTTTCATTCCCCCACCACTGTGGCCCAGACAAAGTCTTAATCTCCCAAGGAAGGGGGGCTGGGTGGGGCGGCGGCGGCTGGGGATTGCAATGGCTCTTTGGCTGAAAGGGACTAAGTGTCCCTCAACAGCTTCTCTCCCATTCATGACCAGACTGCTTAAAATATAAAAGTTGAGCCGCTGACGTCCATTGGAATGAGCTAAAAATGGCTGCTTTGAAGTTGCTATTCCCCATTCAGCGTGTCTCTTCCCCAAAGGCTGCTCTACATATTAATAGCATCTCAGAATTCTGGACGGCAAAAAAATGTCTCAGCGGGGAAGGTGGCTGCAGCTTTGCATACAGAAAACTTGCATATTAGCCTCTCCCTTTTGTGACATTCTGGCCCATTGGCAAACGGGGAGATTTTCTTTCAATGTGGGGAACTGAACTCTCTCGTCCTGCCTGGAGTAGCAACAGTCCGACCGCATTGGAAAGAAAAAACAGAGGAGAAACGAGACGTTTTGAGGAGAAACGAGCCGTTTACGGGGGCATTTTTGTTCTCATCTTGGACGCATCCTATGGTTTTGATCCTGACCTACTTCTAAAGATTCACAATGGTGTTACTACCACCCAGGGGTGAAATCTACTTACCTGCTTTACCGGTTCGAAAGTGCGTGCATGTGTCACATGAGCGCGCATACCTTCTGCGCATGTGCAAAAACTTCTGCCCATGCGCAGAGGATAAAAACACATTACTTCCTGGTTAAAATCAGGAAGTAACGACACCCAGGCGGGTGGGCGGAGCTTCGCACCGCCATCGCTACCGGTTCTCCGAACCACCTGCCACAATCACTACTGGATTGGTCCGAACCGGGAGGATTTCACCCCTGCTACCACCGCTGGAATAAGGAGAATTCAATTTACAACCATTCTTTCAGTGACCATTCGAAGTTACAACAATGACGTACAACTGCTCCTCTCACTTACGGCCAACATAGCATCCCCACAGTCAATCATGTGAGCAAAATTCAGACACTGGGCAACTAGCATGTAGTTGCAGCATCCCAGGGACAGGGGATCGCCACTTGCGACCTTCCTGACTGGCTTTTAGGAAGCTAATGCAATAGGAGAAGCCAGATTCACTTAACAACCTCATGATTCACTAACGACTGCAGTGGTTCGCTTAACAATCATTGCAAAAAAAAAAACTGAGTGCAGCGCACTCAGCAACCGCCTTGGCTCAGCCATGGAAATTCTGGCCCCAATGGTGCTTGTTTGACAGACAGTAATAGCGGTTGGATCACATCCATGCCCATAAATCTCACCTTGCTTCCCTTTATTGACACCGCTCACTGCTTGTGCATAAGAGGGACCCTTTAGCCATGTTCCAACAACCCACTGACCTGGGTCTTGAGTTAAACCTAACTTTGGGGCAGTGGTAAAATCCAAAATTTTTTACTACCGGTTCTGTGGGCATGGCTTGGTGGGCGTGGTGTGGCTTGGTGGCTGTGGCAGGGGAAGGATACTACAAAATCTCCATTCCCACCCCACTCTGCGGCCAGCCAGAGGTGGTATTTGCCGGTTCTCCGAACTACTCAAAATTTCCGCTACCGGTTCTCCGAACTACTCAAAATTTCTGCTACCGGTTCTCTGAACTACTCAAAATTTCTGCTACCGGTTCTCTGAACTGCTCAAAATTTCCACTACCAGTTCTCCAGAACCTGTCAGAACCTGCTGGATTTCACCCCTGCTTTGGGGTCATGCAGAATGCACTGACTGGACCATAAATTAATCAGAATGGCTGGGTAAATGCAATGTTCTAAAGGCAATTAAAAACACAAGACAAGCTCAAAGCCAAACAAACTTCACGAGTTTGGCATGTAGGTTTGAAATTGACTTGGAAAAGCTTGGAATGGATGTGTGTCTGAGCATGTGCGTATGTGGGGTGGGGGTGGGGGTGGGGGTGGGGGAAACGACCATGTTAAATTTTTTCCTCTGTCCCCCATTCAAAGAGGGCGGTTTTTGAGAAGAATGTGGGAAAGGAAAGCAAATTAGCAAATTACGGGTGGGAGTTTGCAGCGCTAAATCCGAGGCCTGCTGTCAGCTACAGTTCAGAGTCATCCCTTCAGATGACTTGCAAAGTTGTGGGTTATTGCTGTTTTTTTAAAGCATGTTCTCTGTTTTGATGGGTTTGGCAATTGGATTCCCCCAGATGGATGGATTAGTTTAGGATCCAGTCAGGGGCGGGCTTCAAAAATTTTAGCAAAATGTTAGGGTTCTCTGCCTGGTTGCTGGGTGGGCGTGGCCATGGTGGGTGTGGCCTAGTCGGCCTCCTACACCAGGGTGGGCGGGGGGGCGTTTTTGCCCTCCCCGGGCTCCGAAGGCTTTCCTTGAGCCCCTGGGAGGGCGAAAATGGCCTCCCCAGGCTCCGGAGGCCCTCTGGAGGCCAGAAACAGGCCTGTTTCCGAACTTCCAGTAGGCCTGTTTTTCGCCCTCCCCAAGCCTCTCCACGCGCCCTGCACTTACCTGCATCCAAAATGGGCCGCATGGGGACTCCTGGGAGGGGAGGGGTGGGTGGGGCCAGCCAAGAGTGGGATTTGGGGGTTCTCCGAACTGCACAGAATCTTAGCTAGAGGTTCTCCTGAACCCTTGCGAACCCCCCACAGCCCACCCTTGGATCCAGTGCATTGGGAGATCCCCCAAATGGGCTACTTTCATCAGTGCTTGGAAAGACGGAGGTGGGGGGAGGTTTTCTACTCCTTTCTGGCTTGGCAGAGGGTCTGGTCTTTTCTTCTTTCCCCTCTCCTCCTGCTCAGGCCTTCTCAGACAACTTGGCTCCAATAATTCCATTCAGAGCCTCTCCCTGATTAAGATGGCTTTTTTTTCCTCATGATTAAGGGCAGGCAGGAGGGGAGAAAAATGGCAGGCTTTGGACAAAAGACTAGCCTGGTTTTTGTTTCTCGTCTCTTTTCAGACCAGCTCTAAAAGCACACAAAGAAAGCCTTGTTTGTAATCACCGACTCTATCTTTCCAGAAAGAGGGTTAATTGCCTGGGCTCGCCTCCTTGAAGGATGGTTTTCCCTTAACGTCCTCCAGTTCCCTTGCAGAATTTGACAGCTGAAATATTTCACCCACAATGACGCTCTTCACTTTACTGCAGGTGGTCCTCGACCACAATGGAGCCCAAAATTTCCACTGGTAAACGAAACAACCTTTCTTGCCACAATGGTTAAGTGAATCACTGCAGTTGTTAAATTAGCGACATGGTTGTTAAGTGAATCTGGCTTCTCCAATTGACTTTGCTAAAGCAGCATCGTGTTCTCACATTGCAAAATGGGGTAGATGGAATAATAAGCTGGATTCTCCAGCTCTCTTTGAAAGCTTGTAACTGAAGATAATCTGGACCACCAACCGACCTCCCTCATAACTCCCTTTCTTCAAGCCAGGGACAGTTAAGCCCATGTAGAAAAAGGAGTAAGAAGAAAAGAGAGAAAGAGAAAGAGAAAGAAAGAAAGAGAGAGAGAGTAAGAGAGAGAGAGAAAAAGAAAGGGAAAGAGAAAGAGAGAAAGAGAAAAAAAAGAGAGAAAAAGAAAGAGAGAGAGAAAGAAAGAGAGAGAGAGAGAGAGAAAGAGAGAGAGAGAAAGAGAAAGAGAGAGAAAGAGAAAGAGAGAAGGAGAGGGAGGGAGGTCATTGCATGCCTTGCAGAACACATACCATGATGGCGAGCAGAATGTTCTGGAACTCGTTGCGGAACCCCAAGGTGTAAGTGCAGAACAAGGCAAAGTTTCCTTCCAACAGCTGGGAAGAGACAAGACATGTCAGTGTTAAAAAAGCAGGAGCATTTTGGCAAGGAAAAAAAAGATGGTAATTGAAAAACAAAACAAAAACTTTACCAGAATAAAATTCTCCACAATGTTTCTCTACCTTGGCAATTTTAAGAAGTATGGACTTCAACTCCCAGAATCCCCCAACCCAAGAATTCTGTTGAGTTGAAGTCCACACGCATCTTAACATTGCCAAGATTGAGAAATGCTGTTTCTGTCAAATTCCAGAATCAAAGACCTGAAAGAATACAGATCTTTGTTTGGACAATTTAAGGGTAGGGAAGCAGAGAAGAGCAGGCTACTGGACACTGGAGAATTGCCACAGAAAAGAGAAAGGTAGAGGCTACAAATATTTATTATACATTCCCAGAGAGCCGCAGGGTGGGAAGTGGAATCCATTGTCCATTATTGAATTGGAAGCAAACAACATAGCAGAAGTACTCAGCTGAGCGGTGACCTCAGCATCACTCCTGATATTTGGGCAGTACATTCTCCAAAACGTTGTGGCCGTGGGCATTCTTAGGGACATTCAGAACACGTAGGGTCCTTCAACTTTGTCCAGACAATCAAAACAGGCTTATCAACATGAGCTTAGACATTTCCTAGGCCCGTGATGGCGAACCTGTGGCACGGGTGCCACAGGTGGCACACAGAGCCATATCTGTGGGCACGTGAGCGTTGCCCTACCTCAGTCCAGCGCGCATATCCGCACTGGCCAGCTGATTTTCGGGCCTTCTGGGCCCACTGGAAGTCGGGAAACGGGCTGTTTCCGGGCCTCCAGAGGGCCTCCGGGGGGCTATTTTCACCTTCCCCAGGCTCCTAGAAAGGCTCTGGAGCCTGGGGAGGGCAAAAAAATGGGCCTGGTAGGCCCATTGGGCCATGGGGGGCGAAAGGGGGGGGGGGGGGGGGGGGGGGGGGTGTCATATGTGCTGGCTTTGCTGGCTGAGGAACTCTAGGAGTAGAAGTCTACAAGTCTTAAAGTTGTGAAGATTGGAGACCCCTGCCTTAGTGAACCTCCTTATGGCTAAATTGATTCGTCGGCTTCTGTCTTGTCTCCTTCGATGAGATCTATGTTGCCTGATGTTGTGGATTGTCCACTCAAGCTCCTTGTCCATTCAAGACAAGCCCCTCCCCCCCTTTTGAGTGCAGCTTTCAACATGGCTCGCAAGACCTAGGACGACATCAAACTTGGCATGGGATTCTTGACTTTGTGGTCTGCAAGATTTAAGCCATTGTTCTAACTCGCAAACTGCAGCTTAGCCACTCTCCAACCAACCCGCACAACACAATGTTTCCTCTGGATTAGACTTCTTCCCAAGCCATATAGTATCTATTATTTTGCAGATGTTGTGGCCTTCAGCTTCTCCTAGTCCAAACTATCATGGCCATCAGAAAAGGACTGTAAAAGAGACCTACCCAAACATCTGGAGCATAGGTCTCCAACCTTGGCAACTTTAAGACTTGTGGACTTCAACTCTCAGAGTTCCTCAGCCAGCTTTGCTAGTTGTCTTAAAATTGCCAAGGTTGGGGACCCCTGCTCTAGAAAATGTATTCCAGGCAAGTTCAAGGAATGGGTGGATGGGGGTTCAGTTTTTGTTCTGGTTTAAAAAAAAATCACATGGTTGGAAGTGTGATGAAGAAGTCTAGAAGTTGTGATGGGAAAGGCTGGGAGTTCTCTCACCATGAAAGCCAGGGAGGTGAACAGGAAAGCTGCAATCAGCTTGATGTAGGGTCCATGTTTCATAACCAGCTTCAAACCCTGGAAGAAGGAAACCGGCTCGGCCAATTGAAGTTCAGAAGATTCTGCGGAGCAAAACACAAGGAGCAGGTGAGTTTCTTCTCTTTCATGGATGTTCTGGATCAGGAGTATTTGGGCTACCATATTTCTAGAACACACCATGTGTTGTTTTTCATCTGTAATTCCATAATGGTTCTTGTTTGCATAATTTATCCTAATTTTGCCAGCCGGAGGAGGAGGAGGAGGAGGAGGAGGAGGAGGAGGAGGAGGAGGAGGAAAATGTCCAAGAATGTTTAAAAGGACAACTGCCTTGAGTGAGCCCTTCCTCTGTTGTAGGAAAATGCTCAGATCAGAAGTTTCGTGGGAGAATCTTCTTTTCAGAAATCTAGAGTGAAACATAGAAACCTTCACTCGTTTCCCATAATCAGAGGCTTAAACTTAAGTATGATGCAAACACCCCTTAGGCAACAGGGCTGTTCAAGGGTTTTCCCTTAACTGCATTTGTTCAGTGTGCATTTCCTTCAGCCCATCCTGTTCTCTACCGCAGGGGGAAACAAAGGCAGAATGTAGGGTGCTTTCTAACCTTTTTATTGGTGCAAAAGGCAGTACCAAGCTGATAAATCAATTAAGTCAATGCAAAAAAGATTTGGGATAAAGTGGATACAGGTAGTCTCAAAGGTGCTTTTTCCAAAAGGCAACTGGACTTCCTTAGTTTTTTTTTTTCTTTGAAAACATTTCCCTTCTCGTCCAAGAAGCTTGGATGAGTTCAGTTCATTTCCTGGATGAGGAGCGAAACTTTTTCAAGGAAAACCCCCCAAGAAAGTCCAATTGTCTTTTGGAAAAGCATCTTTGGGACAATCATGACCTGGATGATTGCCAACCTCCATAGACATTTAGAAACAGATAGTCCTCGACTTATGACCACAATGGGGAACAGAATTTCCCAGTGTGGTTGTTAAGTGAATCATGCCCGATTTTACTACGCTTTTTTTTTTTTTTTGCCATGCTTGTTAAGTCAATCTAGCTTCCCCCATTGGCTTCCTTGTTGGAAGGTCACAAATGGCGATTGTGCCAGGACCCTACAATTTTTGTAAATACATGCCAGTTTCCAAGCCCCTCCATTTTGATCATATGACCATGGGGATGTCGCAACCCCTCATAAATGCAATGACTGCTCGTAAGTGGCTTTTCTCAGTGTCGTCGTAACTTCAAACAGTTGCTAAACAAATGGTTGTGAGTTGAGAATTACCTACAATGGAGTAAATGAGTGCTATCTATAGCTAGTGTGAGCCAGATCATCCATCCTTATCCTTTGATGACTTCATCCTATCAGTCCTATCTTTGGAAGTTTGCCCATCAAACTTCCTCTCTCGGCTAATCTTAATATTGTGAATGAGGTGATAAGGCTTTTCTCCTGAAGGAACACTAAGGAGAATTTCTCAGATGTGAAGTGTGTGGACAAGGGTGAGGCATCAGGTAATATTTGCTCAAGAGGAGTGGCCCTTTTGATAAGCATCCTCCAGACAAGGCCTCCATGCCACCGTGGGCTTGAGAGGGTACTTTCCTTCAGGAGGCAGAAGAGGATGTCACGTCCCCCAGAAGACGAAGCAGAGAACACGTCCAGGGGGTGAGCCAGCTTCTGCTTCCTAGTGACTGGTTAGAACCAGTATGTGGGGTTGCCTCATGAGAGAGAAGCTGAGGCCAGGCACGGCAGCTTTATGCAATCCCCAACTCTTGCGCAAGACTTCCATTTTCTCCCTCAGCGTTCGCTCAGGTATTAAACAGGAGTGGCCGCTGGAGAGAAAGTTACAATCAGTTTGTCCCAAGGGGGAAGCAAGCGACTTTTGTAATCCTCGGATGAGTCTGTTGACATAATCAGTAGGAGTAGTGATACTGAACACGCTTCCGGTATCCAGCAAAAGAAAAAAAAATCCATCCTTAATTAAAAGAATGTCATCAGGGTGCATTTTTTTGAGGAGCGGGGGCAGAGAACACTTCTGAAAGGTGTAGATATCTTTAGAAAGTGTCTGTCCTGAAGGAGATTACATGCCTCTCAAAAAAGGTTGAATTGGATGGTCGGGATTAAAGGAAGGTAAGGATGTGGATGTTGGATCTCCCCACTTGACAAATTCAGCTCCCCCTTAAATCCTGGGTCTCCTGAACGACTCTGAGCCAGCCTTTCTCCCACTTAAGTTATATCTACTCATGTTTCCCCAAAAATAAGACTAGGTCTTATATTAGTTTTTGCTCTGAAAGACACATTCGGGCTTATTTTTCAGTTAGGTCTTATTTTCAGGGAAATATGGTACTAAAATGCACCCATCTGGCTGACGATCTTAACTGGGGCTTATTTTTGGAGTAGGGCTTATATTATGAACAGCCTGAAAAATCATGCTAGGTCTTATTTTCCGGTTAGGTCTTATTTTGGGGGAAACAGGGTACTTTTCCAGGATTATAGTTATGGAAATATTCTTAGGGACAACTCCTGTGAAACACTCTTTGCACACTCTGAGGAAGGCAGGACCAAAATAAATAATTGCTGGCATGATTAAATTCCTATTCACTTCATTCTTTTAAAATAATTTAAAGTCAGATGGTCAGGGTCTTATAGGCTTCTACAGAGGTGTCCATGCACACCACAATATCCCTCGTTGATGAATCATCTGCTAGAATATATTATTTTAGCAGATGATTCAACTCAAATTATGGATTCACATTTGTTTGACCTCAGTGACTCAACCAACTGGGTTGTGTCTTTCACTTTCAAGATTCCTGAAATTCCTGCCTTCTAGAGAGGGGTATATAAGCCAGTTTATCCCAATCATGGCAATTTGTATGAACGTCTACTCTATACTTCCAGAATTCTAAGCAAGGACAATGCCAAGTGGGGAATTTTGGTGTAGGAGAAGAGCAGGCTGAAATAGGAGGCGGGGTTAGATGTGTCATAAGTTTGAAGTTCTTGCATTGCCACAAAAGATCCCAGTCCAGCCCCCCCCTCCCCTGAATTCCATTGTCCCTTAAAGGTAAAGGTAAAGATTCCCCTCGCACATATGTGCTAGTTGTTCCCGACTCTATGGGGCAGTGCTCATCTCCGTTTCAAAGCCGAAGAGCCAGCACTGTCCAAAGACATCTCCGTGGTCATGTGGCCGACATGACTAAATGCCAAAGGCGCACAGAACCCTCTTCCATTCCCACCAAAGGTGGTCCCTATTTTCCTACTTGCATTTTTTAACGTGCTTTCGAACTGCTAGGTTGGCAGAAGCTGGGACAAGTAACAGGAGTTTACCCCGTTATGCGGCACTAGGAATTCGAACCGCTGAACTGCCGACCTTTCGATCGACAAGCTCAGCCTCTTAGCCACTGAGCCACCGCGCCCCACCAGATTGTCCCTTATCTAGTGCCAATTTAGCTTTGACCAATTGTTGACTAGATTCTTGTATATAAGTAGCAACAGCAATACTAAACTCTTCTATGCTTTGAACTCAATGAATGCATCTACTTATTTGTGCCTGCTATTATGGAATTGAAGTCCACATACATAGAAGTTGCCATGGTTGAGAATACATAATACATAATATTGCATGATGTGAGTTGATTCACTTGGCTTACCTTGCCTTTCCCGGACGCCTAGAGACAGAACGGTAGCACAAAGAATATAAATCCCACCAATGACCCCGGCTGCAATCATATAGGCATTTCTCTGTAAAAGGATAGAAAGAACGGTGAGAAAAAAGGGAACATTTCAAATGAGATCAATAGTTCAAGCAGGATATTTTGTAGAAAAGCATCACTGAATGCTTGGAAGTATTCCTCAACTTACAACCACAATGGGAACAGGAATTTTGATCACTAAGTGATGCTTAGGCCAATTCTTTGACCATTTTTATGGTGGCTGATAAATCATGTGAATCATGCAATCATTAAATAATTCTGGCTTCCCAGCTTGTTGGAAGTCAAGAGCCTTGGTAGTACAGTGGTCTAAGGCACCCTGTTATTAAGACTAGCTGCCTGCAATTACTGCAGGTTCGAATCTCGCCAAGGCTCAAGGTTGACTCAGCCTTCCATCCTTTCTAAGGTAGGTAAATTGAGGACCCAGTTTGTGGGGGCAATGAGCTGACTTTGTATAAATATACAAAAGAATGAAGGCTATTGCTTAGCTCATTGTAAGCCGCCCTGAGTCTCCGGAGAAGGGCGGCATATAAATCAAATAAAAAAAAAAAAACCTGATTCCATGACTAGATGCTGCAACTGTTGTAAATGCAAGTTAGTTTCCAAGCACTCCCAAATTGCAATCATGTGACACACCACATCATGTGGTGCCATTATTGCTATATATTAACAATAACAATATTGTTAATTTATTTTATTAACAGTAGCAGTATAATATTCCTCCCCAAAGCAATTTCAATTTTCATTTTCATTTATTGTGGCCTGCAGCCAGCAACCATCCCACAACCTCAAAAACATTAAGTTAAAAGCAGTTTCTTATATACAGTATAAGGCACCCTGAGAATTTGACTGGGGTATGATACAAAATTATAGTAACATATCAAACTTCCTGATTGGTTTCACACACTGAAGTAAACCAGGGCTTATTTTAAACATGATTTTCAGGGGTGGGTTCTAATTTTTTTTACTACCGGTTCTGTGGGTGTGGCTTATTTTGTGGGTTAATGTGACTGGGTGGGCGTGGCCAACTTTTTCTTTTTACTTTTAAAAGCATTTTTTCTACAACCTTAAGAGATTGCAGAAAAAAATGATTTTAGAACCCTCTGACAATCAGGCAAGTCAGCTGGGATCGCCAGAGGCTTTTAAAGGCATTTTTTCCCCCTACAATCTCTTTGGCTGAAGAGGTTACAGAAAAAAATGCTTTTAAAAGCTTCTGAGATCCCAGCTGAGCCGCGTGATCATCAGAGCCTTTTTTAAAACTTTTAACAGCATTTTTTCAGCCGAAGAGGTTATAGAAAAAATGCTTTTAAAAGTAAAAAAAAAAAAAAAGCCTCTGATGAGGTGGCGGGGTAAGTGAGTAACGACCAGGCTGGGGACCGGTTCGGGGGTATGGCCAGCCAATGTTATTACCGGTTCTCTGAACTACTAAAATTTTTTACTACCGGTTCTTGCGAACCGGTGCGAACCAGGAGCAACCCACCACTGGATTGGTTCCACAATTCATAGTCACCTGGTTTGAGTTAGTAACATTTTAGCTAAATGATGGTCCCCAGAACCATTAGGAGATGGATTTTTCCATCTTATAACTAGTGTTTTACAAATTAAACTATTAATCAGTATCAATAATCCCAGAATCCCAACAATTCTTCCAGATAAAATCAAACTCTGATTAGAAGAGACTTCCTGGTATTGATATTACAAGATCTGCAGATTACTAGCTAAACTAGATACATGGAAACTATGTGTTTATAAAACTGGTAGTTCTTGACTTACAACAGTTCATTTAGTGACCATTCGAAGTTACAATGGCACTGAAAAAAGTGGTTTATGACCATTTTTCACACTTACGACTGTTGCAGCATCCCCATGGCCACCTGATTTTACATTCGGATGCTTGACAACTGGCTCATATTTATGACAGTTGCAGTGTCCTGGGAACATGGGATCCCCTTTTGCAACCTTCCGACAAGCAAAGTCAATGGGGAAGCCAGATTCACTTAACAACCATGTTACTGGTTTAACAGCTGCGGTGATTCACTTAACAAATGTGGCCAAAAAAAAGTTGCAAAACCTAACCAATTTCTCACTTAGCAACATATAAATTTCGGGCTCAATTGTGGTTGTAAGTCAAGGACTTCTGTGCTGTTTCTCTAGAGCAGGGGTCCCCAAACTTGGTAGCTTTAAGACTTGTGGACTTCAACTCTCAGAATTCTCCAGCCAGCTATGCTGGCTGGAGAATTCTGGGAATTGAAGTCCACAAGTCTTAAAGCTGCCAAGTTTGAAGACCTCTGCTCTAGAGTCAACAAGATTTTACACTTACACACGTATATTTAATATACTGGAGTAAATTCAGATGCTTTCTTTTCCTTTTGACAGAAATTCCATTTGTTTTGGACATGAAAGACTGACCAACATTTGTAAACTGACCACAACAATTTTTAATCAGGTCAGCGACACACCCAGTGACAGCATAAGCCTTTAAGTAGGATGTATTTTAATGTGGGTTAGCTTGATGAGGCTTAGCATGTTGTGTACATCTAGCTCATTTAATTAGCTCTGGGTTCAACGTGCGTGGAAACCCTAAATAAGAGGTTCACTTAAGAACCAGTTGAAGCATCTGATATGGATGCAACTTACCAGAACAGCTTTAGCAACCAAGACCCAAAGAAGATTTGATCTTCTCTCTTGGCTGGATCTGTTCCCAACTACCTCTTCGAATGAACAAGAAGTCGGACCACAACTCTGCCCCGTTTTTGTTCCCTAGAAGATACTGTATGACAGGGATGTCAAACTCAACACCTGGGAGCCGGAGCTGGCCCACGCGGTACTTAGATCTGGCCCGCGGGGCTGCCCCATAAACAGTGAAGGACCAGCCCACGGTGTTTCTGCCAGTGAAAACAGGCTGCCTAGCTCCATTTTTGGCTGCCACGGCCTCCTGCAACCCTCTGCCAGTGAAAACGGAGCTTGGGAGGGCCGCATGGCAGAGGGTTGCAGGAGGCGGTGGCAGCCGAAAACGGAGCTCGGGAGTCTGTTTTCGCTGACAGAGTGCTCAGGCCACCACAGGTGCCCCTGACAGGAGTGACGTTGAGCTGGCCACACCCATCCCGGCCACACCCATCCTAGCCCCCAAGGCAGGGGTGAAATCCAGCGGGTTCTGACAGGTTCTGGAGAACCAGTAGCGGATATTTTGAATAGTTCGGAGAACTGGTAGCGGATATTTTGAGTAGTTTGGAGAACCGACAAATATCACTTCTGGCTGTCCCCAGAGTGGGGTGGGAATGGAGATTTTGCAATATCCTTCCCCCTGGAGTGGGGTGGGAATGGAGATTTTGCAGTATCCTTCCCCTGCCATGCCCACCAAGCCACACCACGCCCAAAGAACCAGTAGTAAAAAAATTTGGATTTCACCACTGCCCCAAGGTCAAACATGCAGCCCTCAATGAAATCAAGTTTGACACCCCTGCTCTATGACATTCCACCTCTAAAGCCTGAACATCAGTGTCTTTTCACTTTGGTTAGCCAAACAAAGGAGCAACAAAAATGGAGATCATCTTTTTTTCTCAACTCATCCTTCAGCCAAATCCTTTATCACAGTGTTTCTCAACCTCGGCAACTTTAAAATGAGTGGACTTCAATTCCCAGAATTCCCCAGCCAGCAAGGGAATCTGCTGTTTCTCTAGAGTCTCTAGCAAGGCTGGCTGGGGAATTCTGGGAGTTGAAATCCACTCGTCTTAAATTTGCCGAGGTTGACAAAAACACTGCTTTACCGCATTGTAGTGAGAACGCGGAATTCTCCGTAAGGGTTCCTACCGTATCAGAAAGCGAACCAGTGTCCCGGGTGATGTTGACTTCTTCTAAGACCACCGAAGAATTGTTCGTGTTCAAGAAAGGTGGGTCGGGAATACAAGGAGTATCTACTTTCCCCACAATCTGTCCTTGGATGGCTGTTCCTAGGACAGTGCCAAGCACTTCTACTGTCATGCCTGTAGAAGCAAGGGAGAGATTAGAACGACTAAAACATAAGTTGGGTCCAGAAGTGGGCTTTGCATAATTTAATAACCGGTTCGCCTAGTGCAGAACCAAAAATGTGAGCGCTTGCACGTGGCTTCAAACACACAGCGATTTCCTGCTCGCGGCTTCCAGCACAACTTCTCGGGCAGCTGCAGTGAGTAGAGTGGGCGAGTCGCGGAAATCAGCTGGGCGGGGCGAGTGAACCAGAGAGTGAGATCTATAGGATGGGATAGCACCAGGGGCAGTGGGCGGGCCCAGCCGGTGGTTGGAACTACTGGTTTGCCCGAACCGGCAGCAGCCCACCTTTGGTTGGGTCCCCTTTCAAAAGTAGTGGTAGATGCTGGTTTTAACTCATTGAGCAACTGAATATCAGCGTTCACACTTTAACCCAAACCATGCTTTAAGTTAGCTGTGGGTTCATCCAATCCAGTTCCGTTATAACACCGCCTCATGAAGCATAATTTGCACATGTCAAGGCTAGGTTCATAAACACTCAATGGTTGGCCAACATGCTCAACTGAACAACAATGAAGTTTTTGGTTCATCAACTCGTGAACACTAACTTCAACTGAACCATCCTGCTAAGCTACAATATACTTTATTGGGGTGGGGGCTAGAGTATTATGTGAAGGCAGACCCTATATTTTGTTAACCAGGGTTTGTGGCTTAGCATGATAGGTGAACTTAGTCAAGTTGTTCTGAGCAATATGCATCCATGTGAAAGCATCTTGACAGCCATGCAAGTAAGCATCTCTTAAAGATGGATTTCTCAAACATCAAAGAAAATAATTCATTGTATCTCTCATCTCCTAGCTATTCTTTCCGAGCTGTGAATTACGAAACAGGGAAAGATGTAGGATTCCTAGTAAGCCTCAAACTCTTTACTTCTGGTTATGTCACTATTGACGGAGATCATGTTTTGACTTGTGGTCAGAAAGTTCCTATGACTACAATGAACTGCTCTTTACACATTAGGTAAGTGGAATGGATTACCAGGATGAAGGATTCAAGATAGCACATAAGTGCTACTTTAAATGTGCTAATGTATTACAGCCTGTAATATTACAGCCAAGGAAGTAAAAGCCACCACATTGGAAACTGGAAATAAGTATTGGAGAACACTACAAGCAGACTTCTTCCTATCACTTCCATTTAATCTAAACTTGGTACATAAGAAAGCTAAACACTGGGACAAAATATTAAAAAGTCACTGGAACACAAAGAAAGGATAGACTGGAAAATCTTGTAATTTCCTAGCATCTTCCTTGGGTTCAACCATGCAATTTTCTGCATGTTTCTGCAACCACAGACAGACAATCATCAGTGGGCTAATAGATCTCCCATAAAGTCATCTAGGGTGCAAATGTGCAAGCTTACATATCTATTGAGAATGGGAGGGGGGGGGGGAGGGAGGGAGAAAGGGAGGGGGGAAGGGAGGGGGGGAGGGGGGGGGGGGGAGGGGGGGGGGGGGGGAGAGAGAGAGGGAGGGAGGAAGAGAGAGGGAGGAAGGGAGAGAGAGGGAGGGAGGGAGAGAGAGGGAAAGAGAGAGGGAGGGAGAGGGAGGGAGGGAGAAAGAGAGGAAGGCAGGGGGAGGGAGGGAGAGAGGGAGGGGAAGGGAGGGAGAGAGGGGGAGAGGAGGGAGAAAGAGAGGGAGGGAGGAAGAGGGAGAGGGGAGAGAGGGGGAGAGGAAGGGGGAGGGAGGGAGGGAGAGAAGGGAAGAGAGGAGGGAGAAAGAGAAGGAGGGAAGGAGAGAGGGGGAGGGACAGAGCTGATAGATAGGGATGGATGGATGGATAAACAGACATTCAGAGATTTAGATATATACACACACACAAATTGTGGTGTTTTGCAATTCTGTGTATCAGAAGGGGAAAAATCAGCTTCCACAGTTAACAGAGTGGGAGCCTTTTGATATTAGCTTTGCTTAAATGGAGAGGGGGGTTTCTTACGGTAGGCTGTGGCAGAATCCCTTTCGCTCTGCTCTCTGCTGATGAACATGGTGAGGGCCGAATAAGGAACATGGAAGCACTGCCAAGGAGAAAAGAAGGGAAGATGCTGAGCTTGCACATACAAATTCCGCTTGAAAATGCAAAATATAAAAGGATAATATGCTGGGCTATGGCCGCAATCAAGATTTGATTTGATGTAACATATGCAAAGACGTAATATTTTTGGAAGAAATAATTTGGGGATGGGCGGGGGAGAAACCAGCTTTGGGACCTTATGAGGACAGAGACCAACAGGCCGAATTTAATTCTAAAAAATATGTTGGAAGATTTCAGAGCATATTCGGCACATAAAATCTGATTCAGATTTTATTGGGCTATGTTGATAAATTGATTGGGATCCCTCTAGGGCAAAAATGGTGCCCCCCACCCACAATTACAAGGACTAGAAATTATTCCTATAATTGGAAAAATTAAGCCAAGAGATTCCAAGCAGTGGGCTAAGAGTGTATGTATCTGCAATAGAACAAGAAGGACTAGAATCTTAGAAACAGGTTATCAGAGATATACATTCTATAGCAATATATACCACAAAGCAGAGTCAATTCAAATCTGCTTCTCCTTGCTAAAATATTCCTTTCTTGCTTAGACAAAGATCTTGACAATCTTAAATCCAGCATTTCCCCTGTATGCTGGTTTTATGATAGCCAATGAAGGTGCTGTATGGAACAGAAGATCAAAGCAAGCAAAGGCAGGGCGAAGGAAGGAAGGAAGGGAACACGGAGAAGAGGAAGGCACAAAAATCTGCATCGCGAAAGGACAGACTCACCGTAATGAGGGTCTGAAAAATGCAGTAGAAGAAAAGGTACCACATCACTTGCCCTTGAGAGATGTCGGGCACCAACCATATCATGAAGTAGGAGATGACACCAAAGGGAGTGGAAAAGATAATCCTGTTGGGGGATCAAGTCAAACGAAAGAGTTAATATACTGGGGTGCTTGGAGAAAACACGAAGAAAGGCAGGGTTGAGCTGTCACACCATTCTGACATGCGTTAAGTTGGTTTAAGGCGGACTGATCAGCGTGATCTCTGCAAAATCCCAACCAATTTGAGGAAGAGACCTCACTGTTCTGTTTGGATCCCACTGGCTTCATCCTGAACGAGTTAACCCCAGCTGAACAACCAAACTTAATTAATATTGTAGTTATGGAACGTTTAAATGAGAATGTGCAAAGGCAGTTTAGTTTAGTTTAGTTTAGTTTAGTTTAGTTTAGTTTAGTTTAGTTTATTGTCATTGCACCTTATACAACAAAATTAAATGCCATCTTCAGTGTACATTATAACTATAAAAATAAAACACAAACCCACATCCTTCACACCGGAGGTGGGTTTCAGCAGGTTCTGACCAGTTCTGGAGAACCAGTAGCAGAATTTTTGAGTATTTCGGAGAATCGGTAGTAAAAATTCTGACTGGCCCCGCCCCCATCTATTCTCTGCCTCCCGAGTCCCAGCTGATCCGGAGGAAATGGGGATTTTGCAGTAACCCTGCCTGGATTGGGGTGGGAATGGAGATTTTACAGTATCCTTCCTCTGCCCTGCCCGCCATGCCACGCCCACCAAGCCTCGCCCACAGAACCGGTAGTAAAAAATTTGAAACCGACCACTGCTTCACACTCTATACCAGTGATGGCTAACCTTTTTGCCATCACATGCCAAAAGTGGGGGGAGCACAGTGGGGTCACACGCACACATGCCCACATCCATAATTCTATGCGCCCCGCTCCCCGTGCTCCCCCCCGCTTTTGGCACGTGATAGCACGGTGGGCCCAGTAGGCCCGTTTTTTCTCTCCCCAGACTCCAGAGCCTTTCTAAGAGCCTGGGGAGGGCAAAAATTCCCCCCCTCCAGAGGCCCTCCGGAGGCCAGAAACAGTGTGTTTCCTGACTTCTGGTGGGCCCAGAAGGGCCAAAAATCAGCTGGCTGGCACACGCATGTGTGCCGGAGCTGAGCTCACGTGCCCACCGATATGGCTCCGCGTGCCACATGTGGCACCCGTGCCATAGGTTCGCCATCACGGCTCTATACAATTGAACTGAACCCCCCTGATATTGCATTAGTATTGCACTATACAGTAGAATTCAATATAGTTACTGCTCCGGGATAGCAGCTGTTTTTCAGCCCATTCGTCCTTTTTTTTTTTTTTTTTTTATTGAAAAAGTTTTAAAACAAACACAGTTTCCCCACATTCGTCCTTGTTTTTATTATCCTGTACCGTCTGCCAGATGGTAATAGTTCAAAAAAAAAAGGGTGCCCAGGATAAGATGGATCTTTAAGAAAGTTTTAAACTAGATTTTAGAAATACCACCTACACAACACACACACTCTCAGGTTTCTACCCAATGCCAATTTTCTCACAATGCCCAACCTGGGTTAACCCAATATAACTGCTTCCCAGAGCCAAGCCCCAAGAAATACATCATATGGTGGCTTATCCCGATGGCTTAATTCGTCCAGCCTGCTAAACAACAGCTGAGAACCCACAAATGGCTGAACCACACAGTTCAAGCCAACTCTACTTGGCTTAATCCTGTGAAGTATGTGAACCCAGCCTCTTCTCTTTCTTCTCTCTCACTCGTGCACACACTCAGCGTTCACTGATGACCCTAAGCCATTAAGTGGTTTGCTTCTTTCGGACTTAACGTAGGAATAAACAAACAAGACGATGGTCTATGAACATCCTTTTCATGCCCTTAGAACGTTAGGCCCTCTTTTTTTCCCCCATGGCAAAATAAATCTCTTAAGACTTCTAAGGGCCTCAAGCACCTAATGTACTCCTTAAAGCTCCTTGTCCACTCAAGACAAGCCCCTCCCCCCCACTTTAAGTGCAGCTTTCAACATGGCTCGCAAAACCTAGGATGACATCAAACTTGGCATGGGATTCTTGGCTTTGTGGTCTGCAAGATTTAAGCCATTGTTCTAACTCGCAAACTGCAGCTTAGCCACTCTCCAGCCAACCCACACAACACAATGTTTCCTCTGGATTAGACTTCTTCCCAAGCCATATAGTATCTATTATTCTGCAGATGTTGTGGCCTTCAGCTTCTCCTAGTCCAAACCAGGGGTGCTATTCAGCAGGTTTTGACAGGTTCTGGAGAACCGGTAACGGAAATTTTGAGTAGTTCGGAGAACCGGCAACTACCACCTCTGGCTGGCCCCAGAGTGGGGTGGGAATGGGGATTTTGCAGTACCCTTCCCCCAGGAGTGGGGTGGGAATGGGGATTTTGCAGTATCCTTCCCCTGGAGTGGGGAGGGTATAGAGATTTTGCAATATCCTTCCCCCAGCAGTGGGGAGGGAATGGGGATTTTGCAGTATCCTTCCCCTGCCATGCCCACCAAGCCACACCATGCCCACCAAGCCACGCCCACAGAACCAGGAGTAAAAAAAAATTGGATTTCACTACTGGATGCAAGGATGTCATAAACCTAGGGGATTTGGAGTGAGAAATCGTGGCACGGGTTGAATCAATTTTTCCCTTGTCAGAAAGTCACCAAAAGTGATGACATGACCCTGGGAGGCTGGTGCACCCGTCATAAATATGAGTCAGTGGCCAAGCGTTTGTTTAATTTTGATCCCATGAACACGGGGAGGCTGTTAACGGTCACAAATGTGAAAAACGGTCATAAGTCGCTTTTTTCAGTGCCGTTGTAACTGTGAACTAAATCAGGGGTCCCCAACCTTTCGGACCTCAGGGACCACTAACTTCATAATTTTAAATCCTGCGGACCACTAATACGATCTGCCTAATGACCGGCTGGGTGGGCGTGGCTAGGTGGTCATGTGACTGGGTGGGTGTGGCCAACTTTATGTCACTGACATCGAGGGGCATCTCGCTAGCCTCTACTTGCCTCTCCCCTCCCAGCCACTCCTCGCCTGTCCGCCCGGGCTCCTTAGGGCCACAGCAGGAAGCAGTTGTTGAAGCTAAGCAGCCACCGTGAGAAAGAGTTGGCAAAACAGCTGAATTCAAATTGGATCTGGCCGAGAAGGAGGCTCAGCAGAAGCACCACACTGAGGACTACGAGCATAGGGTTTCCAAGCAGAGGGAAGACCTGCGGGAGTGCAAGGCCAGATACCAGCGCCTGGAGGCTCAGCGGGCTGAGATGGTCAGCCAGTTCCAGGCCATGATACAGTCCCACTGGAACAAGGTCCTCTGGCTCTTCACCACCAGCAGCACTTCCCTCCAGCCTTCACCCAAAGCCCCACACCAGGAGGCTGAAACAGACCCCAAGTTGAAATTTCTGCCCCCCTTCTACCCACACAAAAATACCCCAAAGGGGGAGACTCTCTGCAGTAACACAAATGTTCATTGCACGTATCCGGCCCAGGGACCGTAGTTTGAGGACCCCTGATTTAGTGCAATGTTTTTCTGCAGACCATCAAAATTTTCTCGCAGACCACCAGTGGTCCACGGACCACCAGTTGGTGACCACTGAACTAAATGAACTACTGTAAGTTGAGGGCTACGTGTATCTCACAACACCAGAGTTCTGTCTCTTATTTCTTCTGCGTCCTGCACGAAAGAGGCAAGCTGAAAGCAGGATGTGAAAAGAGGAAGATCCTGGACATGTGGATTTTCCTCCCCGCTAGTTCTTTCCAGTGAAGTGGAACACAAAAATGACGTGTCCCTCAAAAATCGAAGCCACCCCAGGTGGCAGCTCAGCCGGGCTTCAACCCAGAGCAGCCCTTTCTCTTCCTCCTGCTGCTGCTGATACACGCAAGGGTTGCTAGTTACTCAGTCTTTCCGTGGTTTTCTCGGCTCGCTTATCTTTACAAACTGCACCTAGATCTGAAAAGAAAGGAAACTGACGTGGCCAGTGCTGAAAAATGTCGTTTGCTCAGGGGGAGGGAGGAAATATCCTTTCGGGAATCCCTCCAGCCAGAGACTCTGTCTGTGAGAGCCCGGAGCAGAGCTCTTCAAGAGCAAACTGCAGCCATCAAAGAATATATCCAGTTTTATTTCTGTCTAGAAACCGCTTCTGAACTTTTTGTGGTCAGGACAGGAAAAAATAATAATAATTAAACTTTGACTTTCGGTTTTGCTGATTAAAGTAGTTTGTTGTTATAGCAATAGCACTTATATACCACCCCTTTCCGTGTGGTTTAAAAAATCAGCATATTGCCCCCAAAATTGTCCTCATTTTACCAACCTCGGAAGGATTGAAAGTTGGGTCAACCTTGAGCCTCATCCAGATCAAATTCCAGGCTATGGGCAGAGACTAGAATAGGGCTGGAAGAGATCTTGGAGGTTTTCTAGTCCAACCCTCTGCTCAAACAGGAGACCCTATACAAGGGGTCCCCAACCCCTGAACCTTGGACCAGGACCAGCACCAGGCTGCGGCATGCCAGAAACCAGGCGGCGCAAATATTTATTTTATTTATTTTTATTTTTATTATTCATATTTCTATGCCGCCCACTCTCCGAGGACTCTGGGCGGCTTACACCAAAGACAGCAAATGAGGACAATCTGGGTCCTCATTTTACCCACCTCGGAAGGATGGAAGGCTGAGTCAACCTTGGGCCGGTAAGATTTGATCCGCTGATCTGCTGAACTAGCAGTCAGCTGAAGTAGCCTGCAGTACTGCACCCTAACCACTGCACCACCTCGGATTCACAGAATGCAGGCAACACATGAAACCACGCCCCCTCCGGTCCACGGAAAAGGCTCTCCCCATGGAACCGGTCCCAGGTGCCCCAAAAGTTGGGTGCCGCTGCCCTATACCTTGTCAGACAAGTGGCTGTCCAGTCCCTTTTCAAAAACCTCCAGTGATGAAGCCCCTACAACTTCTGAAGGCAAAGCTGTTTCCACTGATTAATTACTCTCACTGTTAGGAAGTTTCTCCTTCATTCCAGGTTGTTTCCTCTCTCGATTAGTTTGCCTGCAGTACTGCATTCTAA